ACATTGGTCTCTAGTTTCCAGATTTTAAAATATAATATTTGGATTAGAGACCAAAGTTGGTCGGTTTTTAATGATTAATAATAAATAAATAAAAAACGTATATATTTACAGACCAACTTTGGTCGCCAAATTTATATTATTAAATTAATAAAGCGACCAAAGTTGGTCTCTATAGTCAATATCCGGAAAAATTGGTCCATTTAGTTTAGAGACCAAAGTTGGTCGCTAATTAGCGACCAACTTTGGTCCCTAAATAAAAGGGACCATCAATATAGCTACCAGGCCCCTGTGGTCGCTTTTTAGCCCAATAGCAACCAATTCTGGTCGCTTTTTGCGATCGTTTTTCCCCGGATTTCTAATAGTGTCTGCCTCCAATGCAAGGTGTGCCTAGCACAAGTCGGCCCCGCCATCTAGAGGGTGGTCGTTCGCCTTCGTTTTTCTATACGAAGGCACGTCTTCCTCTCACTCTTGAGCACCGTATTAGCCTCAGAAAACCCAAGATCTTTATGAGTGGTGTTTTTATGCTGTCTAGCCACGGAGGCAATAACATTCTTACCAATACTGACGATGACAACAACCTGGGTTAGTTGATCCCAATTTTTGACATTATCCTATAAAGACAAAGACTATATTCGAAGTCTTAGAACGACACTGGTATGTGTTCTGCTTCCTTCCTCCAATCATTACTTTATTTTACGCTCAGTACGCTTATTCACCCCTCTTTTTTTGATTTCACAGTCCAATACTGGGCCTGAGGTCGTCATCCCCGATCTACTTGTCTAGATATAGGTCTTTCTAGATCTCCTTGGACTGAACGTTCCGGAAGACCCGTCCTAGTGGCCAAAATCACCGTGTGGAAGCCCAAGCCTCAGGGTAAGCGTAATTTTTTGCTTCCATACTTTGATCCTCCTTTATCAATTTGGGTTCTGACTTCTCTTTACCTTTTTGCAGGGCTTCTAACCAAGAAAGTCCCTCACGGGGTGACTAAGCCCCTGATGCTCGGGGATATGGCTAAGGGGATCAAGAAGAGGCCCGACTCTTCTACTGCTCGCTTTGCTGCCCTTTCCAAGAGACGAAAGACAAAAAAGTTGAAACAACCCGATTCTGCTGAGGGGGATGATGTATTGGTCCAGAGGGTGAGGACCCAAGAAGTTCGTTCTCGCCTCGTGTATGAAGGGGATAACGCCATGACTAATAACACCATGATCGATGCGGGAGACAGCGAGGACGTAGCTCCCGCTACTACTATCACGACCTTATCTTCGAAGTTTGACCTAATAAGGTGGAGATCCCTACCTTGATCGATCCTTCGACTGCCGATTGAGACTGAGTAAATTTCGCACTGGATACTTAGAGTTCCGAACAATCGGCATCCCCATTCCCTCTGTGCTCTCCCCAAATATTTCTACACCAGAACAGGGAGGGCCTTCATCTGACTGGGTATGTAGCTTGTCGATCTCCGGTCCCTTGAGAGGACATGTTCTCTTGCTATGCTGGTCCAGCGTACCATCCAAATAGCAGGCCCTTCTAGGATTGAATACCAAGAGCATTTGAGCGAGATGTCGACTGAAGATCTCCTGAACAAGTCGGTGCACACTACACTGAAGGTAACATACTCCCTTTTTGATGCATTCATGCTCCTACTCCATTTATAACTCCTTCTTTCCACAGATCCACTCATCTTCTACTATGATTCTCCGTAATTATCACGCTGAGAAGGCAAAATGGCTTAAGGGGATGGAGGAGCTAAAGTCTTGTCTATTAGCTCGTGAGCAAGAACTTCTCGCAGAGAAGTAAGAGACAGAGGCCCGCGGACGACAGCTTGCTGAGGCTTGGGAAGCCATTTCCACAAAGAAGCTACATGCTCTAGAATTCAAGGGCAAGCTTGCTACCTCAATCGCTCATGATTGTGATCTCTTTGGCAAGGTCCAATCTCATGAGCTAAAAGATTGTCTCCAGGAGCAGCGACAAGCTTTTCTTACAGAGGAGCTAAGCCGGCTCTAAGGAAGGCCCAAAAGCCTCAAGTTCGAGCTGCAAGCTTCCGCTACCCGAGAAATGAATTTTAAGCTCAGCTCAAATCTCGATAGGAGGATCTTCTGTTAAAAAATGCCCGGGAAGTAAAAATGGCTAATGCTGACGCCGAAAAAGGAGATCTTCTAAGTACTACAAGCCAGCTGAGCGCACGGAGGGTGGCACTGTAGGACGTTTATCTTTAACGCCGTAGATCCTGCTTAGAGGCTTAAGGAGGTCCGAGTCCTATAAGTCAATGCCTTGGCCGCCTTGGAACCCTACCAGAGTTCTTCGAAGGGCGATCTTGATTTGGAGAGCTCATCCGGCAAGAAAAGCAACACTATTAAAGAAATAGTGTTCGGCCACGTTCTCATCTCTCTGATCTAGGCCCTTCAATAACTGCCCATCAACCTCCGCAGGCACTTTCGGTCACTCCTAGTTATATCGAGTTTGCTTAGTCCTCCGTGGATGTCTGTATTTGTATATTTTTTGTTTGTATCTTTGGGTGCCCGGGTCAGACGTTTTAGACCCCTAATGCACAAATAATGTTTGCTCCCATTAAATAAAATTCAAAATTTTCTCGGTTGTGTATGTGATTGGTTGTGTTTATAATATCTACTTTCTTTTTGTGCTTTTCAGGCTTGTCCTCCTTTGTTCCTAACACTTAGCTTTATTTAAATGCTATTTTATCAAAAGCGAGCTAATAATTCTTTAGAAATGAAGGATGTGTACCGGTATTAGATGGAGCCTTGGAGTTTCCCTACCCGATCACTTAACACTTAACCGTGAAGGTTTTCCCGCTTTAACTTTCTTCTGTAATTATGTTCCAAGGAATGTACTCCAGGATTTTGGTGATAGCTTTGGTTGTCCTTAAAGTTCTTAAGCGTTCATACTTTAACTTTTGTTAAACAAGTTTTTAGACCAAATCCGGGTATGTGGCATCCGATGATGTTGTTATGATCGGGAATTACTCATCAGATTCATGAACAAGAACACTTAGCATAAGGATCGTTCCTCATTGACCCTCTTTCGGAACTGTATTGGGAAAAATTGCATTTATATATGCAAGTGACATGTTGAGACACGTGAACTGGTCAAATAGTCAAAGAATTATAATTAGTCAAGAGGCACGGGCAGCAGTAGAAACGAGCAAAGCCAAAGGAAGAGGCACTGGAGGACATTTGAAGGATTCAACGCCCGTACCTATTTAAATCATTTATCAAAAGGAATGGATCTGACCATAATAAAGAGCGCAAATACGGAATTCGACAGACATTAATTACTGGATACGTTAGAGAATTTGTATTGATTACAATGACTGTGTAACATAGCATTCAATGTCTTTAATTATTCATAATAGCCTCATTATGATTTGGAGGAAACGCATATCTTCAAGATACCTATAAAAGGGAGGTATCTGGTCACTTGTAAAGACAAGACACAATCGGAATATACTTTGATTCACTTGCTTTTCTCCTGATTACACTCTGGTTACTCTAAATTACTTTCTTTTACATATTCTTTTGATTATCAGTAACCCGCGTTCTTCTAAATTCTAACTTTGACTGAAATTCTATTTTTTGGTTAAACAAATTAGTTCCGTTACCGGGAATCTGATAATCTATTTCCTTTTCACTTGACCTTCCTTGTTACATCAATTATGTCGAATAACAATGACAACACCCTAGGAAACCAAGAGAACCAACAAAGTCAGGGAGGCCCACAGAATATTAACATTCAAGTTCCTACTCCGCAGGACTCTCCACGGCAATCTCGTGAGGGTACTCCTGATGGATCTCAAATAAACGAGTATGCTCAATTTGAAAATGCTGAAGCTGTTGATGAAGCTTTGCAGAAATTAATTACTGCTCAGGTCAACAAAGCTGTTGAGGCACTTGTTAACCAGTTACCTGTTGCAACACCCACACCTTCTCCAAATAATAACACTATAGAAAACCCTCGTTCCGGGCTTGTTAACTCAGGCAGCGGTGGAACTCCCAGTAAACCGCAGGAGAGAGAACCAGGTAATGTAATTAATTCTGATTTACAAAATTTAGTACTAACCTTGCAGAAACAGCTCAAGGAGCAAAGTGAACGCATAGAGCAGATACCCGGGGTGCCGCCCATAATCAAAGGGGTAGACATGGACAGATATTCGCAACAACCCTGGAAGCCAAGTGCTGCCCCACTCCCAATTCCAAAAAAGTTCAAAATGCCTGACATTCCAAAGTATGATGGAACAACAGACCCACGAGACCACGTGACTGCATTCACAATGGGCATAAAAGGCAATGATTTGACTAAGTAGGAGATCGAATCGGTATTAGTCAAGAAATTTGGTGAAACACTCACCAAAGGAGCACTAACATGGTATTCCCTTTTACCTGAAAATTCTATAAACTCTTTTGCTGAGATTGCAGATTCTTTCATCAAAGCACACTCGGGAGCCCAAAAAGTGGAAAAAAGAATGGAGGATATTTTCAAAATTAAGCAAGGAGATTCAGAATTGCTTAGAGACTTCGTGGACAGATTTCAACGCGAAAGAGTGACATTGCCGCGTGTACCTGATAACTGGGCAGCTATAGCATTCACAAGCAATTTGAATGAAAAAAGCTCGGAAGCTACGAGGAGACTCAAGGAAAGCCTTCGAGAATTTCCAGCTACAACGTGGAATGATGTTGATAACAGGTATAGCACGAAGTTGAGGATTGAGGAAGATACTGTTCCCCGATCTCAAAAAGAAGAAAGTATACGTTTAAGACGTGTAGAGATTGAAAAGAGATCGGGTAAAAACAGGTACGAGCCCTATATGGGACCTGCGGGGAAAGACTCGCGGTCAAAACAGGATAATCAAAGGCATGATCACAGATCAAGAAACAAAGAATCTGGTTCTTCATTAAGATTTAGGAACGAGCGAAACAACTATGAGTCACGGGATGATGATAGAAATTTAAAAGCGAGATGCGGAGGTTACAAATTCAACGTCAGCACCTCCGAGCTCGTAGCTGTTTTGAAAAGCATGGGAGATAAGGTTCGATGGCCAAAGGAAATGAGATCGAATCCAAACAGGCGCAACCCTGACCATTGGTGCGAGTTCCATAATGATCACGGGCATAAAACAACAGATTGCAGATTTTTACAAAGTGAAGTTGATCATTTATTAAAACAAGGATATCTTACTAAGTTGTTCAGCGAGAAAGGCAAGCATGCTTACATGAAGAACAGGCAGGAGCCTCTAAAACTACCTTCTCCCAAAAGAACTGTTAACGTTACAAGTGGGGGTGAAGACATCAATGGTGTGTCATATACTGCAGCTAACAAAACTTCCAAAGTAATTATTACCCAAGGGAAACGAGTGCAGCATGTTCTAGAAGAAGGCAATATTACATTCAATGATGCAGATACAGATGGCATATTAATCCCTCATGACGATGCATTGGTAATATCTTTAATTGTGCATGATACTAATGTGAAACGAGTTTTGATTGATCCAGGTAGTTCCGTGAACATTATTTTGCTAAGAGTGCTACGTGAGATGCAAGCTGAAGATTGAGTAATACCAAAGGCACATACTCTATCTGGATTTGATAATTCCAGTGTCGTCACAAAAGGAGAGGTAACACTCACCACTTTTGCTGAAGGGGTCGTCAAAGATACAAAGTTCCAGGTAGTAGACATGGAGATGGCTTACAACAAAATTCTGGGGAGACCATGGATCCATGTAATGGATGCTGTTCCTTCAACCTTGCATCAAGTTATCAAATTTCCATCGCTATGAGGGATTTGTCAAATTCGCAGAGATAAACATACGTCCAGGGCTATTAACTCCATTGCAGATACAAGCACGAGAAATGGAGGCAAATAACAATCACAGAAGGCAGTTGAGCTGAACTCGCAAAAACAAAATAGCATGTATTTACCCCAAGCAATAAAGAATATCTTTCGGCATCTCGTACTCTAGAAAAGGGGATTTCAACATGCTCACGGCGAAGGCCTCTCCACCAAACGCATCCCGAGATACTCGGAGACTTAGCGTCAACAATCCAGCACCCGCACAACCCCAGGGTCGGAACTCTGGGCTCATAAAGCCCTTACAAAGTGATTCCGAGCTCACGAAAAGCGGTCTTCAAGCTTAAACAAACTCGATGACTGTCATTAATCGCCATGCGCTGGAAAACCTGAAACTGTAAGACCCCTAGAGGGCAGACTCGGCGTAACCAAATCTATTCTACATTACAACAAAAACTGTAAGACCTCAACAAGCATGAAAAACTGTAAGACCTCAACAGGCATGAAAATCTCGAAGTTCAGGCTATACGTCGCATTTGTAAGAGTCCCGAAAGGGCATACCCTTGGTGTAGATGCCTGAACTATCACTCGGGATCAAAATGGCTCCAGCAAAACACATATGACTATTGTCAAAACGGCTGATACAACCAAACTAACGTGACTCGGCGACGCCCGACCATTGCTAAACAAAAATCGCAGGCCACTACTTCAAATATACTTTTGAAAGAACCGATTAAAATAGCTTCCCTCAACTGGCAAAAGCGAGCTTCGACCATGTTAGCTCCAAATCACAAGGCTTCGACCTACTCAGCCTACAAGCTATGAACCTTCCAAGGTGCTCAAACATCACCGATATTGACTTGAAATCGAGGTTCTTCCAAAACCGACGATAGGTCAGACAAAATTATTTCAAAAGACCTTAACGAGTGGAAAAAAAGTCTACAAAAAGCCTACGAGCAAAACAACGTAAGAGCCACTGTCGCAAGCCAAACGAGCCTCCGGGTCGCACATTGAAAGGTCTCTATGACCAAACAGCGTAAGAGCCATTGTCGCCATCTTAAAAATTGACAACTTGAGGATTAAAATGAGCTAGAATCGTAACCCGATTCGGAGACCAGATCTAAAATAGTTAACTATGCAAGCCTCTGGGCCACAAATTGAAAGGTCTCTACCACCAAACCAGCATAAGAGGCACTATCGCCGGTCTGAAAACACTTAAGGGTCAATTAAAGCTCGAATCACAACGCGACTTGGAGACTGGACCTGAAATAGTTAAACTACAACATGCCTAAGGGCATGGCATAAATGCCACTATCGACCAGCCGAGTAAGCCTCCGGGCCACGCGCCTGTAAGGTCACTTTGACCCGAAATACAAAAGGCAATCGTTGCCCGCCCATGTAGGCAGGAAAGAACTTTAGAGGCAATTAAAGCTCGAATCACAACGCGACTCGGAGACTGGAACCAAAATAGTTGAAATAGGGAAATGCCCAAGGGAAAAAGGTAAGAACCGTCATTGCCCGACCACGCGGGCACGGGAGAGCGAAAATCAACAAGGCTCGGGACAAACCCGGCCCAGAAACCCAATACAAGATGGCGGGGCAAAAGCGTGAGATCCCTCACGGCGGTTCATGTCAGAGGCTGCATCAACCAGCTACACGACAATTCCCGAGCCAGCCCAAAAAGGCCACAGGGCTATATTGCAGGTCTAAGGTTTTTTCGCCAATCATTGCTGAATTCAAAATAGAAAGGGAATAAGGAAAACAGAGTCATGGGAATTCTCCTCATACATATGCCA